CGCAGGCCTTGTAGTTCTGTAAAAGTCACACATTCGCAATGGCCTCGGTGCATTTTAAACCTGCTACTTTTTGTATAAAAACATAAAAACATAGTATTTACCGTTTGACTGAAGCTTTTCCCAACATTAGTGCTCTGCAGCTCCTGATCCATTTGGTCCATGTAACTTTTGAGGCTGTCCAGAGTTTCGGCTGCGCTCATCTCTGCAGGACCAGATGAGCCTTCCTCTGTCTCATTCGCCACCTCTTCCTCCTCATCATCATCATCGTAATCATCATCCAGATCATCTGAATCCAGCTCTTCTTCTTTGCCTCCTGTGATGGAAAATTACTACAAGTTAACATCTGCTGATCGAGTTATATTAAATGCTTGTGAACTCTCACCAAAATAACTATTTGGGTTACATATACAAGGTTTCTAAGTTGTTTTCTGCAGCTGCATCAGAAGCAGACTGTCTTGCCCCTTGTTTTGAATTCCTTATCCTTGGTATGAAACTCGTGTGTTGTCTCTGCCTGGCAGAGCTTTTCACCCCAGCCCTGCATTGTTACTGATTGTCCTACAAGCTCCCTGCATTGTGCACAATATATGAATATGTGATTTCACCTGACAGTGCTTGGTAAAATAGTTTGGTTTTTTTTCCACAACCCTCCTAAAATATTTAAAATGATGAAATAAAACGACGGAACGGAAGAAGAATCAATCATTGCTCTTACGTACCTAAGAGTTTATCTAGTGCGTTGGCCATCGAGCCTGGGTCAAAACTGAAAGGCTGAGTCTGAAGGCTCCTGGAAAACATTTAAACAAAACAGGAACTATCAAACCAGAGTTAGAAAAATATATTTAAAAAAAAAAAAAGAATGACTGCATGTAACTTATCTCACCAGGGTGCTTCAGCCCCCTCATGAGACGACATGGCATTGAGGAAGTCCTTCATCCCTTGACTGACAGCTACAAGACTGTAACCTGCTTCTTCCTCTTTGGTGTCCTCCTCTTCCTCCTTCCCTGAAGCCTCCTCGACAGGCCGCTTCTGCTTGGCAGAGCTGAAGCCTTCACTGCCGACATCAGCGACCCTGCTGCTTCTCTCCTGCAGCAACTGCTCTAAATCCTGAGATGTGATTTCCAACCAGCTGTCGCCTGTAGATTAGCGAAAAGGAAAAAATAAAAATAAACAAAGGTATCATAGGAAATTGCAAATGAGTAGAGGAAGGATGATATAGGCAATGTGCACACATTTGTTTTGAGCTCTTTTATTGAGATGCAGTAGAAATTGCCAAAGTGAGAAAATGTGAGAAATGAAGTGTCGCCCTGCCCCCACGTGTTGCTGCTCAGTGGCTGTCAGTTGCGTGAAAGAGTGGTAGTTTTTTTTTTTTCTGAAATCTTCTAAATGTGTGACACATTTTTCTTTCCTATCAAGTCTTCAATCTGATTATTTCATAGATACTTTAATAGCAAGAAAAGGATCTACTCCGTTTCTGTGAAGCTGTTCACTCACTGTCCTCCGGGGGGAGCTGTGACTCCAGTTTCTTGAACTCCTCCAGGTTGAGCGGACTGTTGTGAAGCAGCTGAAGAATCTCCTCGCCTGCAGAAATGGAGCTGAAACAAAATTCACAGCAGGAATATTGAGGGGAAAAAAGACAAGTGCGTTTTTTTTTCTTTCTTCAGTTTAATAAACATTACATTTGTCAGTCCCAACTTAAACCACAAATACAAAATTTAATTTGAAGAACGGAATCCAGCGATCTTCATGGAAATCATGAACCCTGCTGTTTACATTCATCACCTGCCAGGCTGATCTCTACACTTGAAAGCAGATGATTGAATCCTCACCTCGACTTTGAGGCAACCGACTGTTTGAAGAAGATTTCTGCAGATCTTAAGAGTTCTTTGTGAAACGCCGAACCTTCCAGCTGGCCCTGCATTTGATAACATGGACGTTAAAAACGAGCTTCCTGGGAGAAATGCTACATCTGCTGTTTATAGAAGTGTGGACAAAAAGAAGAAAAGAGTGCGACTCACTCGGAAGTAGCCGTTCTTTTTTAGACTTTCCAAGAAGTTCTTCCACTGAGGGTTGCAGCTCACAGGAGTGTCGGCCTCCGAGGACGGCAGCCTGCTCTTAGAGCACAGGATCTCAAAGCCGTGAGCCTGAGAATAAGGTGAAAACAGATTCACATTTCCACCTTTACCTTCGCCTTCTTCCTCGTGACAAAAGAAAACCCCAAACCACGCCTCACCAGTTTCGTCCCGAGTTCATGAGCCTTGTACCGTGGATGAGAGCGAGGCGGCAGGTCGAAGTCGCTCCTCCGATCTGGGGTGAACTGCTGCTGCTGCAGCTGGGCGTACAAGCAGCGGGTGAATGTCACCTGGAAATTCACGCAGGAGAAGGACACCGTGTCATGAAAGCTGAAAGGCCAGCACAAACAAATCCTGCATATTTTGCATGCGTCTACCGAGGCGAGGACTCTCGTATCAGGAGGAAACGTCTTGAAGCTGCGACAGGCCTGCAGGTCCACTGGATCCCGCAGGTAGAAGGCCGAGACCGCGGGGGCGACTAAGTCTGGACGCTGTGCCAGAACAGAGGCAACGCCGGCAGGGATGAAACAGTGGGCCCGGTGGAGATTAGCTTTAATCTTCTCTGGGTATCTACATAAATGTCCAAAAATGTACGTCATAAATTTATATATTTTTTTTTACATTCTGATCATTTCCAGAGAAGTCCTGAGGATGTTGTTCCATTTGCATTTCACATGTAATTACTGTAGAAAAAAATCAAAGAAAACTGGGATTGTGTGAAAGCTCACCCTTGTAGCCTTTTTTTTAGAGCTGAACGGATTTTGGGGCTAGCTAGACAAACTTCTGGGTGAGCCGAAAGGAGCACTAGAGCTTGTGCCAAACTGGGGACCACATCAAGAGAAAAGCCAATTGAACTGGACTTGGATGGGCAGGGAAGGATGTGCAACTCTCCCCTGTAGATGAAGACCTGCGAAAGAAAGAAGAAAAAAAAAACAAACAGCTGCTTTATTTCACTCTCCACTAAAGAAATCACACACATCCTTTCAGTCAGTCACTGTTTTATTCCTCTTAAACATGTACGTTAAGATGTGTTTTTGGCTAATCGCTGACTGACAGGCTATGTTTTTCTTTATTATAAATATTAATAGGCTGTTTGCTCCAAACTAACAGGGATTTTTATGTTAGAAATCAAACTATTGCGTAAGATGGTCAAATTAAAAATGAGGAATGTGAACATCTGGAAGACTCACTCTGTTTTCACTTGTGTCTGGGTTCAGCCACTTGGGAAGATGATCCGCTGCTTCAATAAGAAGAAAATCCCCATCGTTGTCCTCAACTCTGCCCACATAAACAGTACTTTCAGCTTATACGAAGGAAGTAAATATGAGTTATTATGTAAATCCAGCAACATCTTGTCTAACCTGGCTGCAAGTTCTGGGAACAACTCTGTGAGATGCAGCAGGAGGTAAACAATAAACCACTCATCCTCAATGTTGTCTCCATACCGAGTGCTGCCTCCAATGTGAGCGGGAACATCTCCTGTCAGCGAACAGGAAAGTTACATTGTTCAGATCCGCCGCCATGCTTTATTACAGTGAGCATCGGTAGCTTTACCGCGGTACTTAATGCATGAGATAATGTTAATGAAATGAAAGATTTTTTAAAGGCGTCTTCTCCAGGGATGTCATTAAACGTGTCTACATCTGTATATTTAAAATAAACTCATCTGAGTTGTAAAGAAAAACCAGAAAATATAACCTTTCTCGGGATGGTATTTGAGGTTGAATGGTTGATCCTGCCAGATGTACTGGACCAGAAGCTGGGCAACCTTAGCCAACATTTCCTCCGTCAGGTGTTTGAGCCGTTCTTCGGTCTGCTGGGAAGACATGCCGTTTGTCTGGACCAGAAAGAGTTTGTACTGAACCATATCTTCCGGAATCGACCTCATCTGCAGAACATCCATTGTGATTTTCTTTAGAGAAACGACTGATAAAACAACAGTAAACCAGATTCCAGAAGTCGTTGATGTGCCGTCAGTGTCTGCAAACAGTTAAACCCAAAAGAAGAAACTGTTGATTAGCGTCACCCTGTCTAGTTGTCTTCAAAATGTGACATTTTATGTCAGTCCATTGCAAAAACGTGTTTATATTTGGAGAAAACACACTCTAGTTTGGGTTACGTCGTAATCACGCCATCTGTCAGTGTTTAGGTCCTTCCCTAATTTCTAACCGGCTTCACCCTAAGACATTTGTCAGAGAGTTCCGGTTTGGTAAATGTATTAGTTACAAAGTGTCTACTGAAAAAATTATACATTTTACAAATTTAATAAATAGCTTTTTAAAAAGTATATTTTGAGATTCGTTATGGATAAAAGCAAATTAATAAAAAAGTGAAGTTGTAGACTGGTCAGAATCGGAAACATTTTACAAACGTAGTCACGTCACTACGATGAAATATGGGAAATGTAGGAAAATAACACCAAAGAGATTTTTGAAAAGCTTTATTTGTATTTGTGCTTTACAATACCATTTTAAATAAAATTGAACCTTAAGAATAAAACCGAAATCCACAATAATTAACAACAACAACAAGATCAATTTGTGGAAAATAAATATCTGATCAAATAAGGCTGAAGAGTAATAAAATATAAGTACACAGAGTAAACATACTATTAATCGACGAGGACATAATGCGACTTAATTACAAAGTAAAAAAAAAATAAATAAATTAATCTTCAATGTCTGGATACAAATGATCTGTGCATTGAACGTATATGGGGAAAAAGCAATATACAATGCAATACAACAAAGCGGTACATGTTTTTCTACTTTTCACAGTGTTATACAAAGTTTTTACTAAACATACGTTATAATATTGTTGCTGTTTTTTTAAAGAAATGTATGCAGTTTTTCTCTTTTTGTCAATTTTTTCTCCATGAGTCTATATTTTATTTTTTCCCAAAACAGGTCTAGCAAAATAATTTTATTATGCACGTGACAGAATTATTTTCCCAGAGCAGAAATACATCTCCCAGGTAACCGTGCGGCTGTGAAGCCGCGTCTCCATGACAGCCGTGCTATTGTTGTCGTCGTTGGTGCTAGTTAGCATCGCAAATTCTCAAATAATTTAGACTCTAAGAAAGACAGACAGGTAAATATTTGACCACATTCGACAGCTATTTGGTGTAGCCAGACTAAACCGACGATGAGTCAAATTATACAAGTGCTGCGGCACCACCTTTCTCTTATAGTGCGTTTGTGTCACCGTTCATGCAACGCTAGTTAGCTCATTTTCAAGTGTAGCCTCCCCCTCCAGCGTTAGCCGCAGCCCCGTCCAATATTCCAGATCCAGGCTTTTACCTGGTGGGTACCTACAGGGCGACTGGAGGAGATGTTGGAGCTCCCTCTATGCTGTTTGCAGAGAGTCGAGCGAGAGGAGGCGGGGATGAGAGACGTGGTCTCGAGCCCTTGAACCGGAGAGAAAAGAGGATGATTTCACGGTACAACAGGAGACCAGTATCGCATAAACTTGAGATGTGAGTACCAAGCAGTTTTTCCCCCCACTGTGCTCTGTAAACTAGTTGTAGGTCTTTATATAAATTGCTCCACTTTAATCATTATCTATTTGTTATCAGTATAATTATTATCATGTAGCTATTTGCTTAGACACCAGTGTCAATTTTAGCGGTAGACGAGAAGATTATGTTTTGATTGCCTGGTGTAGGCACAGGCCAGTATGAGATTCTAATGGTATGATAACCTTGAGTGAAGTGTCTCCGTTTCAAGGTATCTACATGTTAAAAGAAAGTATTTAACATGATCCAAGTGGTTTCTTTAAAACAGAGAAGCGACAGTTGTTCCTACTACTGTAAAGATAATCCAGTATATGGATTATCAGTAAAAATAATGAGATAAAAAGTAATGCTTTTACACAACCATAGCAAGCTGATATTAGCTGCTAAATGCAAATAGCTGAGGCTCCATTAATTTTTATTTATCACACTGGAAATATATCCAAATAGTCACACTTCTCTCATTTTTTTAGTCTCCAGCATTGCATCGCAGGAGGAGGCGATGCAATGCTGTTCTCTCTGCTCCATAGTTCATAGTTTAGGTAACTTTGGTTAGTCTGGCACTTTTTTTATGCATCTTATTATAAAGGACTGTAAACCACAGTGAAGTTATGAAGAAATATTTTTTGTTAACCTTTTAAAACTTTTGTCTACTTCAATAATGGTAATCAGTTTATGCTCCATATTCTTGGTACAAGTAGTTTGTGGTACTATCTAAAGCCTAAGCTAATTTTACTTAGCTTAGGCTAAGTAAAATTATGCAATCTTTTTTGAGCTTTTTCTTTCATAGTGGAGGTGTTTAATGTCATTTACAAGTTTTATTAGTTCCCAAGGAGATAGTATTGTTTCAGTCCACCTTCTCCCACCTTTTTTTCATGATTTTCTGTTGTTTCAGTAGAAGAGAAACACAGCATCTCTCTTATGTCATCACGGAGACAAGCTGTCAGGCGTTCATCCTCAAACGCCATGTTGCCGATCATTTCTCAATGTCCCTTCTGTGCAGTCGTGGTTTGTCTCGAAGCAGCCTCGATCACCACCCTCTCCCTGAAGAAGCAGACGATATCGAAACCTCTCCGCATTACCTCCACGACCTGCAGGAAGCCGTCTCTGCACACAACAGGTGACCAAGTGCCTGCAGGCTTGAGTTCGCCTCCCCCCACCCCTTTAACGTTCAAACCTTTGCACGTCCAGAGCAAGAGCAAGACGTAGAACAAGCGTTTGCACTGAGTGCGCAAACACAGACACTCTGGATATTTTGTAACTGTACACCGTCTTGAGCAGACAGCCGATTCTCCGAGTTCTCGCCATGTGACACCCAGAAGCAGCGGATTAATTAATATCACATTGCCTCCTTCAGATGTGCAGTCAAAAGGATGAATAATTAGGCAGGCTGTTAGAATATTCTATTAAGTTGACATTTGCTCCTTATTTCCACTTTGATTCTATCACCAGTCACTTCTAATTATATTTCTGTAGCCCCATTAAAGAGATTTATTTGGCATTTAAATGTATATTATTAGACCGGTTTTGTTTATTCACATGAAATATAGAAAAATAAATAGATTTGGCCTAAAAAGTCTTTGAGCATTATCATAGATTTTGTACCCTCTGCACATTTCTTACAGGAGATTCAGTGCCTTGGAAAGTATTTATACTTCTTGAGTGTTGGTGTTAGACTGTTTCACATTTCATCCTCAAACTTCAATGCATTTCACTAGGATTGTGTTAGATAACCTTACAGAGAGGAGAAGTTGAAGGTTAATGGCACTTTTTACAACTAAACATAGAAGTCTTATGGGCATGGCTTTACCAGCTTTGCACATTTAGAGACTCAAAAAGTCAAAGTAGTTCGACCTCCATCAGATTAGTTAGAGGGCATCCGTAAAAAAAAAAAAAAGCAATTTTCGTAGCTTCTCGGTTGGATTTAAGTCTTGACTTTGGCTGATTAAAAGTAAAAGATTACTGTGTTTTCCATGCAGCTCGCAGACATCTGCTGCCTCGGACCACTCCGACTGCCCAACCGTCATCTCAGTATCACCCAGCCAGTCCTGGTCCGGCATTCACAGCTCCACAGGAACCGGCATCTCCACAGAAAGGAGCTCCGTTTTCTCTTGGGGCTATGATGTAAGTCTGCTCTTCTTCAGAAAGAAATCTTGGCATGAAATGAAACCCCCTTCTCCACCCCCCCGCCTCCCTCCAACCCTGTGAGTTGTAAAAGACGTTCCTTTTTTTTGTGCTGAATGCCTTCTCTACAGTTTGTTCTGCTTCTACACAAGCATGCTGCCACATTTTAATTAAGTCTAACCAGCATTTATCACCTTTTGGAAAATGTGTGGGAAACAGAAACAGTATCCGTGTAATATACCAGATGGCTAATTTGCATGCTGGTTGTTTTTATGCAAGACCTCGTTCTTGTTGCTTCGCTTCCCTGTTCTTTCTACATTAAAACTATTTTCAACTCCTAATGCTTTTAAGAAAAATAATAACTCGCAGCTCTACTCTTTTTCTTCCTGTGTCCCTCTATTTTTTTTTTGTATTTTAAATGATTGCTCCACCTGCGACAGTCCATAGGAGCTTATTTTCTTAATAAACTCTGCAGAATCTTTGCAGATGGGACCAGAATGCAAAGCAGCAGCTTTCAACAGTAGATTTGGCATACCAGAACAGAGGGATAGATATCTTCCCCGACTGTGTTTTTGTTTGTGCGTCCCACAGGAGTTTGACAAGGCGGCGTCGCGGCAGGTGCAGCAGATGTTTGATGAGATCGACAAGGAGCTGTACGAAGGGAGAGGCTGTGGCGGGGGGATACTCCAGGGGCTGCAGGACGAATGCCAGCAGTGGACCACACGCTTTCCACATCTTCGGTAACTTATCTGTTGTTTGTCCTTCAGCTCGTAGCTTTTGTTTTGTTTTTCAAAGTTTACTTTTTCATTTTCTCTGTGTGTGTGTGTGTTTGTGTGTCCCTCAGGATCGTGGGGACTCAGCTTTTGTGTCCCACCGACGAGGGCTTCCAGTGGTACGCCACTCCAGGGACAGTCAGTCTTGCCAGCAGCCCGTCAACAGACAGAAAAACTACTGTGAAGAGCCAAGGCAAAGAGAAAGGGGCTGCAGAGTAAGTTTTAAAAACACAGACCCACTGGTTTGCTGACGGATTGAAGAATTTCAGGCACTTTATCATCTCAGAGGTAGTTTTCTTTTGCTGGTGGTCACATCGGATTCTTTTTAGCCAATCGAAAATGTTATGTCTTCTTCATCAGCTCATTCAATCTTTATTCACTGTATTCAGTAGTTTCTCTGCAAATTTGTTATTTTAAAGCTGTTATAAATAAGTCCTGACTGACTCTAGCTCTGTGACCTACATATTCTGCCTTTTTAATTAAGTATTTGGGCCAATGTCAAGTTGGATATTTAAAATATACAGATGGGACTCCAAAGTAGTGTGCACAAGGCTGTGACACTGTCTGACTAGAACGCTTACAAACTGGGTTGGTGTGATCAGATCAGGTTGCATATGCATATATGCATGACGCACCTCAAAAATCCCAAATGTTACCAAGTATTTTTGTCTAGATTTTAGTGCAAGCATGTTAGTACATTTGAAATAGGAAAAAAAGGTAACTTACAAGTAACTTTTCAGCAAGAAATATGAGCCAGTTTTAAGTCAGTAATTCAAGAGAACTAAAATAGTTGCTGTGGAAACTAGACCAAAAACACTTGGTAAGATTAAATGTGTTTGCATTGTGTTTTTTTTCTGCATCTCAAGATGTGTTTTAAGACTAATTTGCTTTCTTCAGTGTTTTTATGCCTGTACTGAGAATCCTGCAAAAATAATTTGAGCAATGTTGTCTTTTTTTGGGAAAATATAATAGGTTGAATGTTCAGGGCAGGAAAGCTGCACTGATCAAAGAGTGCGATGGCCCTCCCAACAGCGAGCCTAGCAGCTACGACCAGCCGAGAGTGATTGAAGTGGAGGGAGTGATGGAGGAATATCTGGCTTTTGATAGCCGGGACTTGTGAGTTGTCCGCATTCATAAATCACATAAATCCCAAAAAGTCCTCCTGTGTAAGTGCTATTCCCTTCACAGTACAGTAGAACGAGTATTTTCTTTCTCCAAAAGGAATGAGTGTCATGAGGAATGTCCGGAGTCTGTTCGGAGGCATCACTGCCTGCCCCCGGTCTCACCGTACTGCTGCCGCCGGCAGGCTGTTCTCGACCTGCTGTTTGATGACGTCTGGCGGGAGCTGGTCGGTTGGATGAAAGAGCTGGTTCAACGTCACTGGGAGTGCTGCACCTCCCGTAATGCTAAACGTTTCTACTTTTATAATAGAGTTGAACTTTTACACATGCAGGGTTCTTTCACAGTCTGGAAAAATACTGGAATTTGATGGTAGTCGTATCAGGATATGTATGGAAGAAGAACCTGAGCGTCTGGGAGAATATTTCTGTTTCCAGAACTATTCTTCCTTCCTTCCTTGTGTCATTCCTCTCTTTAGTTCCTTCGTTGTGTTGTCTCTCTTTCCTTCCTTCCAGTTTTTTTTAATGGTTTTTAAAAATATCTGCCATAAATTTAAGGACTCTGGGGAACGTTTTTTATTTACTATTTTCCAACGACAAAGTTGTAAAGTTGAGTGTGGAAAACTAGGGAATTTTTAAATGTAAAAATGTGTTTACATTTATGCGTTTCTGAATATTAATGTTGATATGTTATTGACAGATGATGAAACACTATCTGGGAGCCTGAGCCCTGTGCAGCCAGATGCTCTGAATCCTTTCATGCTGCTCTCCTCGCTGCCCGCCGCACTTCCAAAACCGGGTCAGAGCCGAGTGCCACCGCTCACGTCTGGACAGCAGCTCCAGGTCAGTGGTGTGAGAAGGACTAGATAATGAGAGGCGGCTTATTTCACAAATATCAGTCGGAGTTAATCAGAAAACAAGTTCGGACTTTTTCTCAGTCTACTTCAATGAAAACAATTTGACATCGACAGAACCTGGTAAAAACTCCTATTTAACCCCTGATAAAGGAGACTAAAAGCTTTGTTTTATTGAAGCAGCACATCATCACAGATATTTTTATTTATATATTTATGATCTGATTTTTTTTTTATTATTTGGAGGGGGAAAAATATCTTCTGTTAAAAGAAAGTTGTTTTTAACAAATTATCTTACAACGTCAGTAATTCCTTTAAGTTGTATGCAGCTGAAGGCACAAACACTCCATGCGGGTCCGGTGTGAAACATAGGGTGAGGGTTTGGATACTCGCCTGCTGTTAAGTTTGGTAGAGGATCTGTGATGCAGTGGTCCTGTTTCTCCTCCACAGGCCCTGGGAGCTTTATTATCCTTCATTAACTCTTTGAAACATCAGGGAAATTAAAACGTCTGCTAGAAAGCTGAAAATGAATGCTCATCGAGTCTCTAAGTAATATAGCAATCCAAAAAAATACTAAAAAAAGGTTAAATGGTTCACCGATGGCTTATCTCCAAAGCAACTCATAAAGTGTTGTCCTTTTGGAAAAGGGAGGGGTTGAACAAAGTGTTGTACCATTGTTATGTCCTAAATTGGAGTTATACTCCCTACTGAATAAAATGTAGCTAAATTACAGGTTAGATTTTTTTTTTTTTTTTTTTGAAAATATTCTGCACCAGCTTATGATCCTACCACAAAAGAGATTTATTTTAAGACTATCTGAACATCTTTACCAGGGGGTGCCAATCAGTTCGGAGAGGTCTGTGCTTGAGGCAGTAAGTAAAGCGTTTTCAGTCGGGACGTCTTGTGTTCCCCAGAGTTTTCATTCCTGCCTGTTACTCTTCACTTTCTCAGTCAGTCTGCTTCAGTCCCTTTTTTCTAAAGTATTTTTGGACGTGCTGTTTTTGTATATTTTGCCTTCTTAACTCTGTATTCCTCTACTTTCTCCACTGTTTCTTCTCTACTTTCACCATATCTGCTGTCTTTCTTCGAACGTGCCAATCCTCCCTCCCCACCCGGCCCTCTTTTCTAAAGAACACAAAGTCAAGGGGCTCAAAGCACAAGTCCAGATGGAAATCCAAAAAGCAGAAAAGGCCTTCAGCTGTATGTAACTCTCCTGCTTCAAGCCAGAGCAGTAGTGGGATGTGTGCACGCCATCTGTAGAAGCTCATTATCCTGAATATCTGTGTTTGTGCCTGTTGATTAACACCAAAGCATCCCCACTGTTCATCTCTTTAATCATCTTCAACACATTTGTGAGACGCACAACTTCTTTTTTTTTTTAATTTCGATGCTTTTCTTTTCGAATCTTTTTGAATGTTTACTGCAATTATCCGTTTGGTGTCTTCGCTGCATGATGGCTGTATTTGGAAGTAACTAACTCGGGTTCTCCAGGGATTCCTCCCTTCTTTTGCATCCCGCTTCGTCGTCTCTGTCCTTAAACCACGCTTCTCAAAATTTTTGCATGTTCCGCCTCTCTTGTTGTCTCCGCTCAGTCCTGTTTTTCCTACGCTCAGGCTGGCAGGACGCCTGCAGGGGCAGCGGCAACGCAGCACAACCTGAACGACCTCATCGTGATTCACAGCATCCCCCTGCAGCAGAGAAACCTGTCTGTGCTGGAGAGAAGCCAGTAAGAAGACATCTCACCCTTCGCGAAGGCGCTTCGTTTCTGGTTTAGAGCAGTCGATCCACCGTGGGTCTCTCTCTCTCTCTCTGTTCAAACGCAGGGATCCGGAGGAGCGCCCGTCTCACAGGCCAGTCTCGAGCGCCATCCCTTCCAGCAGACCTCGTCCTCGCAGAGCCCTGGAGCAGAGCTCTTCCTCTTTGTCCCGCCAACTGCAGTCAGCTCGCCGCCGAAACCCTCCTCCCCGAAACTTGCTGCCCCTTGTTCCGAGTTTGAGTCAGGCCGGGACAGGGGGATACCTGGACGAGGTCATCCGTGGGACACGACTGTGAGTTGAAGCATTGCAGTAACCCTACTGAACGCCCTGCACTCCCCCTAGGCCACCGTTTTTTTTTTTTTAATGTAAACAAATGTCACTCGGAGTCATGGCTGTGAGCTATCTTAGCCCGTAAATTTGAGCCGAACTTTGGATAAAACAAATTTTGATCTAATTTTCCATCCAAAGCAGTTAAAATCATAATAAGAGAATTAGAATACGTTTGATCCTTAAAGTTAAATATAGTCTCATCAACTCTAACCGTTTATAAAATGTCAGCGTCACAGAACCGCAGCTGTCATTCTTCTAGCTGGAAACAATTGAACTTTTCAACAAAAAAAATCTGAAAAGCGGTCCGCCTCTCTCCAACAGAACCACAGCCAGCGACCGATTAACATCTCCGCTGGTGGCCCTGAGCCGCAACACTCCCCTACCCCCCATCGGAACCGGAGACGGCGAGTCGTCCCACCCAGGGCTGCTGTCAAAGCTCACACAGGTACAGATGTCAGCACCGCAAATATGGCTGGTGTCATTCATCACCGACATGTCGAACGCTGTGTGGAGCTGTGCAAAAATATCCATGCCTCTTAAACCTTTTCACGTTTTGTCACTTCGTAACATTAAACATCAATGGATTAACCAGTGCTCTGTGAAATGCTTAAAGTTTAGGACATTACTACGTAGCTGCTGATTTTTTCCCCCATGATGGTTTGCGTTCCATATTTTAATCCCTGCAGCGTCAGAAAGGCCCTTCCAGCCGCGCCCACAGCGCCTTACACGATGAAGCTCAAAGCTCCGTACCGAGGGATCGTCACCACATACTAGACGTCTTCTCTCGTCCCAACACGACACACACGTACAGGGTGAGAGATTTATTTTAGTTTTGTTTTGATTCCTCAAAGACTGAAACATCGCTTCTATATTTTACTGCAGCCTTTAATGTGTTATATTTGCATGTTCCGATTGAAGGCTGTTGTGACGAACCTCTGATTTTGCCTTTCAGTCAGACACTCCGTACCGGAGTTCCTTCACCGTGCTGGACAATATCGGGCAGGGTCGGCCAGGAAGAGCCTCTGTAGGCACAGGTCAGAAACCCTGTTGTTCAAAACCAGGAAGAAGACTAAACACATGATGCACTTTAGTTGCTCATAGCCTCTTATGCTCCATTATACCGAGCGGCTCATCTCATTTTAAATGACGTATCTCATGGTTGAACTGCGGCTGCAGTCGGGGCTAGTCAGTGCTGCACAAATGTGGTCATCCCTGTTCTTCTCGCATCTACACACTTTTTTCTTCCACTCAACCTTCAGTTAATGTGCTTCTGTACAACCCTGTGTGAGCAGCTGGCTTCTTTAACAAATCACTTTTGAGATTTACTGTCCTATTAAGTGACCACTCTTCCAAAAACTACAATTTCTGCATCAAATTTTAATTGTCTTTATGTAATATGTTAATTTTTTGAGAGTCTGAATTTTAGGTTTTGGTTGGCCATAAGCCACAATCGCCAAAATGAACAAAAACACAAACGTTTCACTCTCTAAGATTTCTTTTTGAATTGTATTGCTGAAAGAAATCAGTAATTATTGGCATTTCTCAGCTAGTTGGAAACTCACTTCACACCGTAGTGTTTTTAACAGCTTAGCTTTCTGTTAGGGCTGTGTTTAACGACTTCCACGTTAATGTTTTCCTCCAGACTCTCTGGGAATCGGTGTGACCGGTGTCGGTCTCGGCATCAGCAGCTCGTCTTTCTTGGACTCATATCCTCACCACCTGCTGGGGCCGTCGCCCATCAAAGACGAAGAAGAGCCCGAGCCTCAGAGCCCTGTCGCAGGTCAGTAAAATAACTCGGCTGAACTCGGGTTAGGCCGTCTTCTGTGTGAAACATTCCATTTCCGAGCAGCAAAAACAGCTCAGGTTTACCGTCGGATGTTCCTCCGTTTTCCAGCAGCCGCTCCTGTTCCGTCTCGCTCCTACACCCGCAGCGGCATCTCATCCAGATCCAGCAGGCCTGGCTTGTAGTTTCCCCCCCGGCCTTGATCTCAACCACCTCCCTGCTATTCATCTTTACCAGCATCATCTCTGCCCTCTGTCTTGTTTCGAAGTAGTTTGTTTTTGTTGATTACATTTTTTTAAGGCCTATTTTTTATTTTTTTTTATTTCAGAAATCACCTTGTGGACCTGCCAAATGTGAAAAACGATCAGTCTTTGTACAGTATGGGGTCATATGTGTGGCGGTGAATGTTTGATGAGAATGAGTATTTATTTATGCGAATATGCCATATAAAAATCAGCATATTCATGTGTTGCTATAAATGTAAATGACTATGCAGGGAAACCTATAAACCATATCTGCTCATAGGACATGTTCCTCCCCGCTCTGATGTCAGGGAGCTTTGTACTGTATCAAAATCCAACCGTCCCTCAGAAAGACAGCGCCGTCTCAATGGCTCTCCATAATCGAGGTGCTTTTGCCGGAATTATCCTACAATGTAGGAATCTTATAACATACACATTATTTGTAAATAACAAAAGGAATTTATTCATGGTGTCTGAACAAAGTGGTGTATTTAATATAATTTACTTGCTCTTTGTTTGAGCAAAGCCAACTGGTCGTACTTTGACGAGTAACATCAGGGTTTGTGCACAAATAGTTTCTTTACTTATTTGTCACAACCCCCCCACCCCCCCTCAATGCTATTATCTGTTATGTAATAAAAAAAAATAATAATAAAGCGTATAAATGATGTAAACGCATGCATTTATTAATAGAACTTTTACAACACATTACAAGAAATAAGAGGATTTACATGTTTGTGTAGGCTGAAACAGTTTTGCAATCAGTTATCCTTAAAACACTTGTCTGAACTGGAATAACAACATAAAAAAACTTCTTTTTTTTTCCCCTAAGATTTATTTTTTGGCTCTTTTTCCTTTTTGTTGTTTCGTGCCTTTTTGCGAGTACTTTGCTTCCAGATCTGACAGCAAACTGTTGAAATTCCTCTCTCTGGACTGCTGGTTTTTCTGCAAAAACGTGGAAGAGATTAAAGTCAGGCCAGCCGAGCAGAACCCATTGCATTTTTTTTTTTTTTTGTAGGGACGCGATACCTTTAGCATCATGACAAGGCTCTCCTCGTCCTCGCCGAGCCCCATTTCTTTCTGCATTTCCTCGGCTTCTTCTCGCTCCCGGTCAGCCTGAGGGATCAGTTCCAAACCGACGCCGTTAGCGAAGTGGAAAGATGACAGGCGTTTGTCTGTGCGTGTGCATGTGTTGCGCAAGAACAGGAAACGGTTCAGTTCTCACCCTCTTTCTCCGAGCCCTCTTCTTCGCCTGACTCTCCTTCGTAAAAGCTCGGAAGGCCTCCACCTCTCCGCTCTTGATGGCAGCCTGGATGATGCGGCACAGCCTGGGCTCGTCCTCCTGAGAGCTGCAGAGAGCCGACGCCGTGATGGCATCCATGTCCCCCTCGTGCTGCACGTACAGCCGGATCACGTCCTCCCGCTCTTCGTCGGATCCCTTGTACTTTTTCTCAAATTCGAGGATGTCCTGCACTGTGATCTAGGAGAGGAACAGAAAGACAGATCACCGTAACAGGTAGCCTAATTCTGACTCCAGGGTTGTTGTTTTTTTTATGTGTTTTTTTTTTTTTCTTAATCAGGAGCAAATATTTAAAATGGAGTTACTTTCATACAGACGCACAAACAAAGAAAAACAAACACTTTTCAGCAAAGTGAAGAATGGTTTTCTGTTTGACTTAGTGTCTCACACACTCAATACAAAACAAAAATCCCACTAAATAAATAAACTTTTTTGATGCATTTCAAGGTTGGAATGACGATGCAAGAAAACAAACAAAAAAAAAAACAAAAAAAAACAAAAAACTTGAATAATGAAAATTATGCATAAAGACTCAGAAATATACATACACCTTCACTGATATTCAATGACTCTTAGCAAATTGTACATCTACAAGCATTTTATTGGCCATTAACGAGGTCAATGACCTTATTATAATGTGTGTGACCGCTCTGACAGAATTTACAGGTCTGTTGTTTCTTATTCAGCTTTTGGGCGAAGTTTAGAAGTGTTTTATAGGTTTAGGGCCAGAGCCATTTCAGAGTCTTGATACAAGCCTGCTTTATCAATTCCATTTGGTTCTAGCTGGTTAAAACTAGGTCAAATTTTAATGTTCAGAACAAAAACAGAGTCACCACATCTTGCCTTGGAATAAAGCAACACGTTTTATTATAAAGCAATAACATGAAGCTTAATCTAGTTTAACACTAACCAATTTCAATTGAACTCTATTAGTATCTGATAAGAGTAGTAGTTAAATATCTACAAAATGTGCTGATGCAATAAAAAAGTGTGTGCTTGCCCTGCAACTTGCTTACTGACATTTATCTAGACATTAGTGGGCATGTATGAATATTTTGGATAGAAAAAAAAATTAACTGACAACTACGTCTAGCCTTTCAGTGTTGTTCAAAATGTTTTTGTTATGGTTACTGCATTATTTTAAATCCATCATAACTGAAATTGATAAAAAAAGAAAAAGTAAACTAATAATCTATCAGCAGTTAATGCACACAAGGCTTGAGGTTAATAAATGCACACAAATAAACGGGCATTGCATTAAAACAGCTTTGATAGCAAAAGAAAAAACTTCTGTGCATGTGCTGCTTTTGGGACGTGACCACTGTTGTATTTCAGTACCTTGGGGAAGAGCAGTCTCCAGTATTCTTCCCAGCAGCGGTCCTGACTGAGGACGTCCGACTCTTCATCCACCAACCCCTGCTCATCATACACGGCCCTCTGCTCCTTGTCGCTCAGTACTGCATAAAGCTTTCCCAGCACCTACGGGTAAATTTTTTTACACTCAAATGTAACCGTGAATTAACAGTCCGAAACATTTCTAGTCAGCATTGAAACTCGATTCTTAAACGTGTCGGCGCCGCAGCACTGACGGAAAACATGCAATAAATATGTTTTTGAGACAGCTAATGTTGGGTTTTTTCAGACGTTATCGCAAATATAAGTTAGCTTCAGTTAGTTATGCTAGTTCCTAGCTTGCCAGTTTTGAAAGCTGACCTGAAACTTCTCTGTGGCTTGCGGGTCGTCTGGAGCCCTGTCTGGATGGACTTTCAGCGACACTTTGTAGTAGTTCTTTCGGATGTCTGCCTCACTCGCCTCTTTGTTTACACCCAGAACCTCGTACAGATTGGAGGTGTTGAACAGCTCCCGACACCGCTCGAGCAAACCCATCGTAGAAGAAAGAGTCCTGGTTTAACGGGGTAAGTTGGTACAGGGTCTAGTTGGCACAGTGTCCACACGATCTAAATCGATTATTTGACGGCAATACTTAAATAATTGCTCAAGTATTCTCCGGGTCCTAAGCTGTTAACGTCACTTTGGCGCGCTGGCCTATCCTTTACATCCGTACGTGCAGGGACGCGCTTACGTAACATTGTACGCGTTCTTTCATTGGTTGTACTCAGAGCCTGCCTTTTTTTACGTAGCATTTTTTTCCTGTTTCACCCCTCCTCGGCCCTCAATTAATACACTTTATGGAGTAATTAAACTGCAATATGAAGAAATGCATAATTAGTAAAATATGGGGGGGCGGGGGGGAATAGAATGATATTCGAAATAAATTTAACAATCTCTGAGATTCAAACAACGTAAAGAAAAAAAAAAAGAAAAAAATGTAGAGTTACCTCTCATTTCTTTATCCTGACCGAGAAATGACCAATTTCAGGTTTGCTAATAGAGTCCAGCAGATTTGAAATAACATATTTTGCTATTAAATTCCATCAGAGCTTCCAAGGTTTTTTGGAAGAGAAACTTGCCCCGCAGCATCTATGTGTGAATTACTGTCATGTTGTTACAATATGCTTAAAGACCTTTGTTTCATTTTGACACCACAAATAGAAAATATGAAAACAAAACAAAAAAATGTTTTGAAAAAAATATATTTTGCATATTGGAAGAAAGCTATTAAGAAATCCAGAAAACAATAAGTAGGTGAAAAATACAATGAACGTATAAATGATCAAACTCATTATACAAATTACTGCAGTTTATTGAGCAGTTCAATTGCTATTACCAAAGTTATGTATTGAAGTACTGAAGCAAAGAGTGGAATCTCTCAACACAATTTGCCAATTGTAATTTACCAAAAAGGCCTTTTCTGTCCTAACATCACAAACATAACCATTTAAAATTTTGCTGGGCAACAGACGGTGTAGGTGGATTTTGCATGAAACAAAGGATGAATGCTGAGTGTGGAAAAGCAGTCATGCTAAGTATGGTGGAGGATCTGTGATGATGTGGCTCTGTTTCTATTCCAAAAGCCATGAGAACATCATCATCATGGCATCATGCACACTTTGAAATACCAGTGCATTAAAAAACAAAACAAAACAAAACAAAACAAAACAAAAAAAAACATGTGGTTGACTCAAACATTAAATGAAACGTTTCTTTTTGTTTGTTTTTCATTTAGTTTTTCAACCAGATAATACTGCGTTGCTGAATCAACACTGATTTAATTTATAAGACACAAATTTAGTTTTCTTCCAGCAGTTAGTGGTCATCATTTTCCCCAAACCTACTCAGAAGTAGAACACATAGAGACATTGTGTAAAGAGGAATCTCTCTGACAATGTTGCTCCAACTTTGTGAATTGTTCAATAGTGTTATAGGGGAAGATAAATTATCCTGTTGGATTAATGGGGCTGTTCAAATTAAGAACAGCAGGGTTATAAACAATTGTGCTAACAATGATTTTGTTAAAAATTAATATTTTAACACATAGTCTTTTCCCCCTTTGATAAATTATGCTCAAGTCAAAGAGAAGATTTGTCTAAAACTTTTAGTGAGACTACAATAAAACCTCAATTTATTTTAAGGCTTTTGACACATCTTTATTGGGGCTGATCAAAAAGGCATCCGGTACTGTACACTTACCGTACCTTCTTGTTAGAGAACTTAGATGCTTAGTCTCTCTTACAGTGCATTTGTTATCACCAGTTCCAGGCAATGCAAATTTCTCTGGCCAGAAGGTATAAGTTAACTTGAGCTGTTTGATGGAAGATTTCATATTTTAGGCTTTATACAATATAATCCATCACCCAGGAGTACACAGATACCTTAGTATTT